TTGACCGGACCACGCGCATTTTCTCAGGGAGGACCCAAACCATAGCAATACTATACAACAAATTAACAAGGTAAGATGCAGCAGTCACAAAATTATTATTGTACAATACCTTCCATCCTTTGAAGTTTCATCGACAAACACGATTTGATCTGGCCCGCTGTAGAAAGGCAATAGCCTGTTCACATACTCTTGCCTTGCCAGCGTATGTCTGATGAGTAGCCCATATTTGATTTAAAATCAATCTGTTGTGGATACCTTACGTAAGGGTAAATGGCCGGCAACTACTGACCTTTCAGCCCTTAACTTGTTAAAAGGTACATTTTAGACCAAATAGGCCCTTACGTAAGGACTCCACAATAAAGTATTATTGGATCATAGTCGGCAAAATCAAACAGTGTTATTGGCAATTTATCATTTTATTTAGTGGCCTGGCTTAGCAATTTAACTCCAGTTCGTCCTCAAATCCCACCTTTAGCCCTACCCACCCTTGCTCAGGACCGGCCTTTAAAGGTCAGATTGGCCAAAACTTTGAAAAGGCACAATGCTACATGTATGTGCCTTTTACAGCTCAATAATCAGGGCGCAAAGCTGTTATTACAACTTAGCAACTATTTGCTTCAAAAGTGTTTTGTCTGTTTTTATTGCGACCAAGCCGCCTAAGGGGTAAATGTATCTACTCAGCTATCTACCCAAGCTAAATCTGATTGAATGTATATCGTGTGAATTTTACGTAATGACATTCATGGCTAACAATCCGTGTTATGTACTGAGCGTTTGTCTGCACGCACCCGTCTGTCCCACACAGTGAGGCTAGCCCCGTTACAGAATGACTTTGCGAGCTGCGTCTATGCTGCTCAACCATACCAACATTTATCGGATCGTATGATCTTATCAGACCTGTACCAAATGGATGGTACATCGTAAGAATTACCCTTAAAACAAAAATGTAAAATCTAAAGTTTAGATGTTGTGGGCCACAAAGGTCAAACTTAAATAAAAAGAGTCCAGCGTACGAACATTTGGCGGCGGATTCGGCGGCAGCAGTGAAGACGGCAGCGAGCGAGCGTGGAGACGGACGCAAGGGTGGAGGTGACCAAGTGTGGTGACGGCGACGACAGTGGAAGGATGACGGGTGACCAGCAGCGGAGACAGCAGCGATGGCGGAACCGAACGGATGACGGTGAAGAGCTGGGAGGGCGACGCTGAGCGGTAACGATGACCAAGATAGACATGCTCGGAGGGTTGCTCAGCAGAGCTGCGGTGCGGACTTGCATCGGAGTGGAAGCTCACGGTTGGGACATGGGTACGTCAATGAGCGGGACGTGGAGGAGGAGAATGCGACTTCCAAGGGCAAGAAGGATACGTGCGGAGCAGCGTGTCGTTGCTTAAGCCGGCAAATTTACTTGTAGGATGAGGATCAGCGCTCAGGGCCGGTGCTAGGTGGCCACATCCCAGAACAGGAGCCGGATGCTGCTGCATGAGGACAAGGCAAGGCGGAGCGACAGAAGGTGCTTATGTGTATATGATAATACTGTGGTATTAACAAAATGCAATTCATATACCGGTACTTGTTTACGAACGCTGCACTGAAGTACAGCTCCGTAAAACGTAGGATCTATTAGCAACGGTACTGATACGCGGAGGCTGCTGCAGGAATTAATACACGTAGTACGTATGAATAGAATTACTTAATAATATAACGCCGATCCGCCACTTTTCCGTCAGTCTTCGCGGTAGAGCTGGTGTTGTCAGCCTAGTGACTTTACTGCTTCTTACAAATCGCGGCTAATAAAAATATTTTAGAAGGCGCTAATTTAGTCAATTGTATCGAAATGATTGCACCGGTCGGATAAAATGATAATATGCGTGAGATACGTCGGCATCTTAATATTTGTAAGGGGATACACAAATCTTCCGTGCCCCTCGGACCTGATACGTCCAATGTGGGGTTTAGCTGACCAACCTAACCCGTAATGCATTTATTGGCCAGCATTGACATATTACTTGGATACGATTGGTTATCCACAACAAAATATTAGGTGATTGGCCATTAATGATGATAATAAGCATATGAGAGGTCGGATAAGTGATGATATTCTTCCATATATCGCGCGGGATGGTATCGATCACATTTTTTTCGAGTCGTGATAAGGTTATATGGGCGACGTCCCGTCATGGTACACGGGGTATTTCTATGGCACAGGCCAACGGGATACTGGACCGCAGCGTTCACGACGGCAAATTTACACTTAGCAAGAACTCCTCAAGAGGTGCTATTGCTGGAGAAGAACCTGTTAACTATGAAGCCGGTTACTTGGGCGCTGCAAAACGCCGTTGCTATGGTTACCCAGGCTGTCGGTGACCACGATAAATTTTCGCAGCTCGCTCTCTGCGTTTGTAGCATCATTGCGTACAGCATCAAAACGGCGATACGGTGCACACCCTGGACATATTAACCTGCCATGTATTTTAGCATTATTAGTTATGCGTTCTCGCCAGAGATCGATTCTCACCAGAACCACTGTCGTATGCCTCCTCTTCCTTCAAGGATCGGGTAGTCCGCGGCTGTTCAAAGAGTACGGTCTTGTTTAGTGGCTGCAGGAACGGTAGATAGGAACACTTGTAAGATGGAAATAAAAGTTTATTTATTGGCTTGGCTTCCTCTTGAGTAGAAGGAGGGAAACATAAGACTGAGAGCTAACTGGAAGAGAGGTCTGGCACCTTCTCGACCTTACATACACTACACTACTTCTCTTATACTAAAAAGAAGAATTCACTTTGTTTGTCGACAGTCCTCGTGGGACAACGGGAGTTCTGGGAAGGGGCTTGATGACGCGAGGTGCTTTGGTCCCACGACGCCAGGACATCGGCGTTCTGAGACCACCTTATAGGACCACCCTAACGGGCTCGGTCAGGGGCACGCGCGTCGTCGCGTCCAACGGGTTTCATCCTGAGTGGACGGCCGGTCGAGGCGTAGCTACCAGGCCTCGGGTCATCCCGCCGGGAGGCACGGCTTCTGGAATGACCCCTCTGCTCCCGGGTACGGGACACCACGCATGCGGCGAACATAGCAATCGTGAGGCAAGTTGCCAGCGATCCTTGCGTTTATTCCGGGGAACCAATCGGTACCACTGCTAATCCATTCCACTTCTTTTGATCACTTAAGGGCCGCGCTCCTCCCCAATATCAGGTTCACAGACATTGTCAGGACACTTTGACACAGGCAAACTTCACCGCGACGAGCAACGACCTCACCGCACATACCAATGCACAACCCACGGCACAGGCAAACACTTCGACTGCAGGCCGAGAAACATCAGCATGCAAAGGTACTTTTGTCGTACTTACTTACTAAACAACGGTCTACGCTAGTGTGTTGCGCTCTGGTATCGCTCGAACGCTGCAAACGTGTAATCTTCGAGTTGATAGTGAGGTCACCACGCCTCTTCTTTCGCTGGCGGTAGCTGCTGCGAGGTATCTCCCTACATCACTTCAGCGATTTTGCGCTTGTGTGGGTGTAGACATATTTGATGTTACCTTCAAAGCAGATTTCATGTCCTTTAGTCGGCCCTGAAGAGCATTTGTGATAGTACTAGGTTGGGATAATACGACCTATACACTGTATGAATACGATCGCATTTGCTGTTCATACCCGAATTTGACTTAGCCACTTCGCGCAGCTCTTGGAAATTCTCGCACTATTGCTGTCGAAAATAACGGTATGGTGGAGCCGTCGGGCACGTTGGCGCCGATATCGATTGGCCAAGGCTGCCTATTGCGCTGCACTGGGACAGCTACCAATTGGTGTGCTGACCTTTGATTTTCATGGCAATTAAATTGTCACGAATCCTGCGTACAACTAATGCTCGTTGCTTGTTGATCTGGGACTGATGGTGGCAGCATCTCTAATGAGCTCAGGCGTTCAGCAGCAGGCGTTTGTTCAGGTGATTGGAACATCTTGGGGTTATCATCAGTGGACTTCTGTGTGTTTGCAACGGCTTCACCCATCCTAGATACAATACGACAGGAGTTAGGTCCCTGGTAAGTATCCCGTAGAGATGCAGAGTAGGGCGAGCGATAGCCATAATTTGTTTTGTCATCTTGAGTTCCATCTTCAGCTTTGCTGCGATGGCTTGCTGTTCTCCAATTTGGTAGCCGACGCAGTTGGAGGCCTGGTGAAACTACCTACCGCATCTTACGACGACTAAGGCAACACGCTAATGCGGAAAAATTTAGTCCCCTGTAGCGGGACTAAATTTTTCTTAACAGGCGATGCCGTTACGCATATGCCCGCGCCGTGGGTACTAAAAAAGTAGTTTTATCCCCACGCAACGTCTGCACACAAACCCCGATGTGCTGGTGTGTAATACCTAACGAAGGTAAGCACCAAGTTATATTCTGAACGTGTCCGCTGTAGCTTAGCACCAGCACTACAACCACGGTTACTTGCGCGGTTTCGAGCTTTTAAGCTGTTTTCTCGGCAGGATTCTGCACATGCACCGATAGTGGATCTGCTCCTGTCCGCAATTCATTTCCCGCGATCAATTGTTCTTGTTTCTTTTGATGCTTTGGTGGTAACCATTACGATCTCGAGAGCGCGCGATACGCGTAAGGCTCGTGAACCGGATGCTGCAGCCCTCGCGATCTCTATTCGGTGGTGCGGGGAGTGTGATAGACGATTAACAATCATGCTACTAGTAGTAAGGTTAGAAGAGGTGGGCAGCAGCGCCGCAGGGAGCTTGGCCGCCATTAGGAGCAATACATGCAACAACCCCTGCGTGGTAATCCAATATTTTCGTATTACGTAGTGCAATATGTAGCAAGCGTCAATTAAATGCACATGTATTGCATTATTAATTCTTAAGCACTCCGGCTCGCTGCCTCTTGGGCACCGAACTGCTTCCACCTACTGTACACCGCCTTCGGTGCACCGCCTTGCCACCATCATGCCTTTATCCTGCCACCGCGCCCTGGCGCCGCCCCTTCCACCGCCCTGTCTGCCGCCCTTCCACCGCCACCGCCCTGCCGCACTGTCATCGCTCTGACGCCGAACTGTTACCGCACTGTCACCGCCCTGCCACCGCCTTGCCGAACTGCCACCGCACTGAGACCGCCCTGCCACCGTTACCGCCCTGCCGCACTGCCATCGCTCTGCCGCCGAACTGCCATCGACCTGCCGCCGCACTGCCACCGCACTGAGACCTCCCTGCCACCGCCACCGCCCTGCCGCACTGCCATCGCTCTGCCGCCGAGCTGCCATCGCTCTGCCGCCGAACTGCCATCGACCTGCCGCCGCATTGCCACCGCCACCTCCCTGCCACCTCCTTGCCGCACTGCCACCGCACTGAGACCGCCCTGCACCGCC